ACACCTGGCTTGGGCAACTCAAAGTGACGCTTCGCAACTGCTTTGTTTCCAGGGCTGGAAGGCTGGCGGCCCACTCATTTGTTTACAAATGCCGCTGTCACTTGACGCCCAGAGAACTGGAGCAGCTGCCTCCCAGCCGGCGTGGTGTGGAAGAGCATGACCATGATGTGTTCGCTCTCACGAAAGGACGCATGCATGCAACTTCTTTTCATGCTCCTGTCCTGGCCCTCCCGCGAAGGAGAGTGGAAGACTGTTCACTGTCGCCTGTTCCCTGTGACTTCAAGATTCTCGCAGAAGGGGCCGACAATGAGAAGTTACTCAAGAAACTGGAGAACTTGGCTGACACACTTGAGTCCCTGCCGCATGATTTTCTACGTGCTGTTGCTCAGCTCTGAAATGCATTGGCTTTGTCTTAAATCCATTTTTTTCCGAGGGCTTATGTTGATTTGCCATGCCCTTGAATGCCCAGGTTCCACTATTGCGTGAACGTTGTGAACGTCTCCAAGCGGGCCGCGTTGCTGGGGTAGATGAGGACCCACCCCCGCTGAAGTGGTTAGCTGCAGCGGCACCAGAGCGAGCTGAAGTGCCATTGACAAGGAACATGTACTATGAGCATTTGCCTGACACTTCCTGGCAGCTGCTGACGACGTTTCATCGGTTGCCCCGCCGGAACAGAGAGGAGTGACAAATGGCTCATGAGCAGTTCAATTGTGCTGTTGTGTTTTCGTGCATTCCTTGCAGAGTCAGAAGTTGATGTTGACCTGTTCTCCGCAGCTGTCGACGGTTCACTGTCGACTGTTCACTGTCCCCCTGTCCCTGTCGTGGCTAGCATGGCCCACGTAAGTTGGGTGGAAACTGCCGAGTCCAAGGCAGTTGTGGACAAGGTGAAGAAGAGCATCTTGACAGCTGTCGGTGGCTCCTTGGACCCAGAGAGCTTTGATTGCGTGCATGTGATTGATTTCATCCAGACGAAGTACCCGGAGCCGGACCTGCTGAAGAACTGCTTGGAAGGGCTGTATCAGAGAACCAGGCTGGTTGACCCTACTTGGGTGCACAATGCCACGGTGGATACAGTTCCAGCACCACCAGGGCCGCAGCAGCCTGGCAATGAGGGATGGTTGTTCATTTGGCAACTTGGCCACCAAGATGGGAGTTCGCTCAAGGGGCGGTCCAACATGGTGAACATCTTGGAGATAGCATTCAGCATCCTGGAGAACACTTACAACAGTGTCCAGAACCCTTTGGATGTGCTGTTTTCTGCTCCAGCTGGAAGCCCCATTGAAGATTTTTCTGTGAAGTTCAGTGGTGGCTATGGCAGGTCCCTGGCCATCAAGATGATTCTGGTGGCAGTCATGGACTTCACCAATGAAGAGCTGCAGGCCCTGTTCCCTGTCCTCTGTTCACTGTTTGCTGTCAAGTTTACCAACAACCCAGCTACCACGGAGGACATGCAGAGGTATCGAAGTCTTGCAGCGAAATTCCAGGTGAGCGAAAGTGCACGCCCTGATCCGATTCAGATTTACACCATGCTAGCGGAAAGTCTTGCAAAATCGGGGATGGACGTCGCTCACGGGCTACCAGTGAAAATCAAAGAGTACAACAGCCTCTTAAGTGTCCAAAGCCAAAACATTTCAGAGCTTGAAGCTCGCGTCATTTGCATGCTGCCACATCAGACGCCCAAGTTCGTGGAAGTGCTGAAGTATCACTGGCAAAACTACAAGAATGCAGAATCGGCCGTGCCGATGAAGTTCTTCGGTCGATCTTCTACCTTCAGCTCTGAGGTGCCGCCGGAGGCGGCCGGCGTCTGGAAGGAGATCCTCAAGGCGGGCCCGGAGAAGAACGAGTGCTTCCTGTTGCTGCTCATCGGGGTGTTTGTCAAGAGCTTGAAGGATGCGCTGCGCATGAAAAAGAAGCCAACCCTCCGTTTCCAAGCTGGTCGCTTCCGAGTGAACGACCCTGTGATTGCGTACCAGCAGGCGTGTCTTTGGGTGCACTTCAAGCCAGCCATGCAGAAGGAGATGTCTGCCCCTGAGTTCGACCAGCTTGAGAAGAGCTTTCTCCGTGGAGGCCTTGATCGTGAGCTCGTGGATCGTTGCAAGGCCATGAACCCAACTCTGAAGTTGGCAGACTTCCGCTTCATCTACACGTTCCTTGGAAAGGAGGCTTCCATTGTCAAGGAGAATGTGGAGCTGGAAGCAGCACAGGAAGCAGCAGAGCTGGAGCAGGAGAAGGCAGTTGGGTTAAACAATATTTTGAGTTTGGGGTTCTGGGGTGTGTTCTGTGTCCAGTGTATGGTTGGAGGTGCAACTTTTGATCAGGATCCAGTATTGTCATTCTTCATGGGGGGGGTCTGCTTTTGTAGTTCACGTGACTATTGATGCATCTTGTGGCTGTTGGTGGGATCTAGGGTGTAATGCACAATCACGGTTGATAGCCGTGGTTCATGATTTTTTGTTGATGCATGTTACAGCTTCCGATTGGAGCTATGGTGTAGTGCAGTGAGTAATCATGGTTGACAGCTGGACACTGCTTTGTAGTTGATGTTCATACAGATGCA